CTCTTCTCGCTTGCTTTCTTCCCGCCGCGCCGTTTCCTTCCGCCCCCCTACCGCCCCGTTGATTGGTGCCGTATCTAGACTATTTTTGGGCCCGCTGTCTCCTCGTTTGATGGCTCGATGTATGGCTCGTATGTGCACACAACAAAACTAAACATTTGACTCGGCCACACGTTCTTTTTGTAAATCAGCAACACCGCACCTGGAAAAACCACTGCAAGACGCCCTGAGTGTAGCAGAACCCCGATCCGTAACTGGGGCTACCCAAGAAAAAGCTAAGGTTGACAGCGAGATCGCATACCGCCAGCCAAACCACGAGCTATGGAGTATGAGGACGGGAACAGCAGTTAATACGTGTCAACGTTAGAATTTGCCGAGAGGTATTTTTGAAAGTCATCATGTTGCTCCATGAATGGCTTGCGACGATGATGACGTCGCGATTATAGTTACAGGCAAGACACGGGACCATCAATAGCTTGCCGTTCGTCTACGTAAGTTGGTTGGTTGTGTTTTGTGTGACTGACGACTTGTCCGTTGTCAGTTCAACTTACAATTGCAACGCCTTACCGGTCACTATCGCTTTCCGGACATTTTATACGCTTACATACATGCAATCAGTACAAGTTGATGGACAGCAACAAACATAGACTATGCATATATCTACCTAAGAAGAACGCGGCCTTGGCAGCTGCAGAAACATACACGATCTACATACATGCAGACCAAGAGAAAGTCATATATACTAAGAGATTCCACGAACGAGAAGACAAGTATATAGCCCGGAGAGGCGGAGAGACAGCAAGCGATTGTTTGGTGGAGGCAAATAGTCTAAATATCGTCCAGTTGCAATATAGACTACTAACCAACATGGCCGCGTGGATGCTGCTGCTAAACATTTCGTTACGTGACCCCAACTTGCGTGAACTGGTCCAGGGTAGATTCTCTCGAGTCACCGGCCGTATACGTCACCTGAAACGAGTATGTGCGGAGCTGATCGTTCACGTTCACCAGTTTCGCCGAACCCCGAACCGAATTTGCCGTTTTCGCGGGGTCCCACCAGTTGCCGCCGCGCCCGCCCGTGCCGTATGCATAGGTTGTTTTCATACAACATGTTGGAACGAACGAACGCAGCACGCAGCAAGAAGACCGCGACCGACCGATTTGCGCAGAGTTTGGCAGCAGATGCTTGGTGCGACACGAGATCACACCCAAGTTGGCGACATCACCCTGTACGCGTAATACACTTTGTCCTACATCCTCAAGGTCTCAACACAAACATCCGAAGACCAGACGCTGACTCACGTATCTTATGTGCGCGTATCAACCAAGCATCGCCGACAAGAAACTAGCATTCCGCGGAGATTCTGCGGTTGTGTCTGCGCGTGATGTAGCTATGTAGACTGCTGTGCATAGAGTTAGACAAATACGCACATGCTCTCAGTGCAGTGCACGATCGCGGCTTGCAATATGATGAATGAAGTTCTGCGAGCGATGGTGATGGCGGGCGTAACCTGTCTACACCTGCCCCTACCTTCTTGACGTAAAGGACAAAACACCAGGTAGGGCACAGACTATTGGCTCCCCGAAACGACAGAGTGGTAGTAAAATCGCACTTACCTGCTTGAAGCGGAAGTTGGCCACGACAATAACCGCAGAGCCCAGAAATGACAAAGAAGCACAAGCCTGCGCGACAAGTACGATTGCCCGCTGTTGTTCGTCCGATATCCCTGTCCCGTAACCCGTGGTGCCGTCCGGGGGTGGCATGCTCTCCTCTTCCGATTCTCAATCGTTCGTGTTCGAGCGCTCACTTTGTTCCCATGCACAAGTGCGATTTTGGTTCTGTCTACAGGTACACCATGGCAGGGACACGAGGAGAGTCTTGAGTCGCCCTTGTAGGGCACGCCGCTTCTGTCTTGCTGCAGACGGTTGGTTACCCGTGCGCTCGAGACGTCCAGCCAAGCGTGCGATGTGTTTATTTGAAGAAGACCATTATCCGATCTGTCGGTGCTTCACACGAGAGTGGCGAAGGAATCGACTCTTGAGAAGACCGAGTAGGGCTACGTATGCATATGTTCTCCAACAACTGCTGTGCATGATGTGCGTAGCGACAGGTGATGAATTGGGTCTGCTCGTCCGGTCCGCGTCTGGTCTGCTGTCAGGGTTCTTGCTAATTTTTTGGGAAGTAGGAAAGTCATCCCCCGGGACTGCCCAAAATTGGCCAATCGCCTGCCATGATCGATCGACGACCGATGACCGAACGAACGATGAAGAAGTCCCTTCGAATTTCAACCGGGCACCGGCCACAGGTATTCTACCCCTGATGTTGAAAACAGGTTGGTACGTTGGTACCCAAAAGAGTAGAAATCGCGGTGTGCTGCTCGCGGCTCGCGGGGAAACTAACTGGAGAAACACTGCTAGTGCTCCGCTAACACGGTGGATACAACGCTAATTTATCCTCTACTGGACTCATCTATGTATCTACAATATGGAAGGAGAAGGGCTGCTGTAGTTTGCTGCAACAGGACGATCGCTCCACTGCTCTGTGTGCTCAAGCTTAATCTACAGAGTAATGTCCATGTAGTGGGTCCCGGTATACTCTGGTGCCCGTAGGTGATGCCCTTGAACCGGTATTCTAGCATATTGAGTAGAGTCTACTCTATGAACATAGATCTATGCACATTCAAACATTGATTGACTCAATCCAGCTATTATTTTTGCTTCTGCTGCTGCTGGTGCTCCGTCACGCGATGTCACCGGCATTATTTAACCGGCAATTATCGCGGGACCACGATGTATTGTTGTTGTTTTGCTTCATATTAAACTCGTGTCAGGTGCTAATCCCAAAATCTGGCAAAGACTCGGGCCGTGGTCACAAAATACTAGAGCCATCAGAAGTTCTGAAGAACAAACACACTAATAGCAAGGAAAGGGTACGCAAGCCTGAGGAGGTACACCTACAATCCCTGCAGCACGTTTGCGTGCTCACAACTGAACTACACGCCCACACACCACAATTCAACTACATACAGCAGCAGCAGCAGTGTTCCGCATTTAACCAAAATCAATGTTTGTCGACTAGAGCGTACTGCTGTCTGAAGTGCTGTCTGTATAATAATAACACCATGGTGCATGGTACACAAGCTCGGGGCATGGAGCTGCTGTCTGAAGTGCTGTCAGAATGAGCCCGTGGACATACAATGAAGAAGAACGCCCAACCAAACCCATCATTGCAATTGACAATCACCCGAATCTATCCAGATGATCTGTGTTAGGCACAGCAGTGTAAACATCGACACTGACTAGGAATCGTTCCACATTGAAGGGGTCTTCCACGATGCAGGTACACAATAAAAAGCACACGGGTTATCCGCGCCATCTCTGCCCCGTCTCTATAAAACCAGTGACGTCATCACACACACCCAACACCTATACTCAGGAAAAAAACGGAAAATAATTGACAACAAAAGAGATGTTTGTCCGTGCGCCACGGTTCGATGCCGTCCGCATGCTCCGGTTCCGCTGCTCCGGTGCCGCTGCTCCGGTGATGCTGTGGCCAGTCCTAGCACGACCAAACTCGACCCGCTACGCATCGTACACGCTCTCGTTGCTGTCCTTCCCAGTCGGTTCCTCGCTTTCTCCCTCGTTGCACTTATTAGTTAGGGTACTTGGTCTGAAAATTCTCGCGCCGAAGGGTCAACCAGCCCAATCAGCTCGTCACCACCTGTCCCCTCCCCCATTGATGGCAAAACCAGGTTACTGAGACAGTAAACCTAGGGCCGTGTACATAGTGCCCGTCCACCTTTCTGATGACGTCTGCCTCCGCGCATAAGGATGAGATGGGCATTGCTGCCTACACCGACGGCCTGGAGGCCCGCGCACTGCACCTTTGTACCTGACCCACCAGTGCCGACCCAACTCCACCACTACGCATGCCTCGCGGCGGGTGCGCCGCAGCAAGAAGGTATCGGCCCCTTGAGGGTGAGTCTAGCCCTGCTCGCTAGAAAGAACCCCCCCCTCGCTATTGTATGGGTCATGCCTACGCAAAACCTTCCTGAGGCAGCGAGGGGAAGAGGAATGTAGACTATGAATACATACGTTCATTCCTCCTCTGGCGGACGGATTGGGGGCTTAGGCGACAACTGCTACTATGCCGTCGTGACGATGAGGAGGCTTTCCTTTGTTTGGAGTCTATAATCTATCTGCTGAATGAAGCCTAACTAAAGAGAGAGAAAAACGCGTTTTTTGTTGGTTGTACCAGTAGGTTTAGGTCTATGCTACATGCCGGTGCGTTCTTGTCCTGCCGAGAGTTTCCTTCTTTACCTTCACAGAATGCGCAACCTCATCCATCCGGGAATTGGGATAGTCGTCTACTCGCCAAACAGCGTTAAAATTTATGAAAAGTATGTGATGATGAATGGAATAACTTGACCTGGACTACGTATAAACAACAGGCGGTTCCTCCATGTTGGAGTACCCCAGAGAGCTGGAAAAAAGACTCAAGGCTATTGGGCTCGTACTGTTTGAAGTATACTGTACCTCAATCCAGTGCAGAGAACAATTGTTCACAACCAGCATTTAAGCTACCTGTACATACATCACGTGCTGTACATATAGAGCCCGCAATTAAGAAACAAACGTCAAAATCGGGTCGAGCCTCACCAATCAATCCCTTATCTTGGGTTGTTGTACCGGCCCAAGTCGTCCATTTTCTCAAGTGACATTTCTTTGTCCTTTGGACTGTCGCATCCTCCCGATCCTCTCATTATTCCTTACAACAAGTACTTCGTATTTGCTTATTTCTGTCTTTTAGTCTCTGAGGACAATCCACTTCATCAAGCCCTCAAGAGAGGTGGTGGAGAGTGCCATCAAACCCGTACACCAGCGGAGAGCAGGTGGTAGTACAGCACACAGAGTGAACAGCAGGGGCAGGGGGGGTGGTGGTGTACTCGTAGTCGTGCATGCCGTAGTCGTTAGATCATTGACCTCGCATCCCTACAAAGCCGGGACGGAGCACGCCGGGTTCTCACCGGACCAGGCTCTCACATCACCAAGCGC